CCCCCCCCCCCCCCCCCCCCCGGTAGATACCACAACCAGGGTAATTCCAACGACTACAACAATGTGAACATCAGCCATGCTCAATGTTGTTGCACGCCCCCCCACCCGATTCTCCTGCGTCACGCTGCGCCCGGGTGACGCCGACGAGCAGAAGTGATGTAGACGTGCTTGTCAACCAGATCGTGTTCGAGGAACCGCTGATTTCGGAGAGCCGCAAGCCGCAGCTGCGGAGGCTGGTCCACAAGCTGATCGAGAAGCTGGAAACGAACGAGTGCGATGATTTTTACCTCTTCAAGGTGAACCCAGAACTTCGATAAAAAAACATATCCTGGCTGGTAAGTTCCTAGGCAGACACCTGTTCTGCGCGTTCGACAAACTTACTCGGGTCGGAGGGTTGTTTTGGAAGCAGCGATGATCTGATACCGGTGGAGGGGCCCAGGAGAGTCGACGTATGAACGATGCAGGCCCTTCCCCCCATCCCTCCTGGTGCTCACACCGATGTGTTAACAATTCGCAGATACTTCGGGCTCACATTCTGCCTTTGACGAACTGCGCCTTCAACAAGTCTGGAGACAAGTTCATCACGGGATCGTACGACCGCACGTGCAAGGTGAGGAAAAGACAGGCATGCGTGCATGAGGATTCGAGATCGACAGCTCAAGGGAAACGCACAAGCGCTACACATCAATGAACTTCCATAAGTAGAAGCGGGGGTTCAGAATTCTAGTCGGTTGCCAGATTGTTGGCGAAAACTGTCAGCACGCGACCCTCCCCCGGCGTGGAAAGCCATCGTCCCATCGTACAACTGAAGCCCATGTGCATGAACAGGTAGGTTCCCCCCGCCCAGGACGCCTTCCTTGAAGTGTGTGCGGGTCATCTTCTTCAACTTGCTGCTATCCCTCGAATTAACCCCCCCACACATCGCGCGAGCTCGTGCACTCGAAACCTCATTTTCCCATCCCCCTTGATCGATACCCCCCCCCCCCAGGTTGGCGCTGTTGGCAAAGCGCTGTAAAACACGCCACCCCAAATATAGCCCCCATCGTATGCGCTACCAAAGACTCGCCACGCATGGATAAGTGGAGTGAGGATAGCTTACGAAAACCTCACAGGTGGAGTTGTTGTTGTTGTCTTCACATTAAAAACCATCCCGGTCTCTCTATCCAGTACCTCCTTCTGTCTCAATCTCTCCGTACTAATCCATCACTTGACTCGGCCAATTTCCGTGGTCACAGGCTAACGTACCTAGAAAAGGTATACCAAAATAAAATGGACCCCAAGGGTCAGCAGAGCGATAAAATACAAGAAAACAAAATATAATCAGAAACAAATAAAATAAAATAAAATAAATAATTAGACTAGTGGAACGGCCGCACCACCAGCCTGGGGGGGTAGCCTCCCACTACATGGAGGCAGGTCGACGGCCAAAGGAAGGGGCGGGGGTACGTGCCAGTAAAAAACAAAACAAAAGACAAAATAAAACAGAATAAAGCAAAGATGTGAGTGATGTAGGATATTGCCGGACACCTAAACGTGTTGAGTGATCATATCTGAATACTGAAACCCCAAGGTTTGAGTGAGGTTTGAGATTGCCAGACACATGGACGGGTTGAGTGGGGATAACTGCATGCTGAAACCCCACGGGTTGAGTGATGTTGGAGTGCCGGACACGTGGACGCGTTGACAGATAGACACACACTGAACCTCACAGGTGATTTGTGATGGAGATTGCCGGACACATAGACAGACGTGTTGAATGAAGATGTTGTGTGTGTGTGTGTTTTTTCGTCATTTTTATTATGGCGACACTCCCCCCATTTTTCGTGGTGAGACGTGTACTACACTTTTCAGCGTATGTAGAGTACTACACTTTTCAGTGTATTTTTTCGTACAACTATAACCATCCAGGGTCACACAGGAGGGGGGGTAAACACCAGGGCTTTTGTTCTTTTTTTAATTTCTTTTCATGCCCCACCTTCCTCCTGCGGTGCGTGCTGAATTTTATTTTTGTCGCGAGAAGGGTCCAGCCGTCCCTTTCCCTCGTCAACGGTGCTAACGTCGAAGTTTTGTACTCACGAGAGCTTTTTAGCTATATTTCGCTTTCACCCGCAAATTTCGTAATTTTTTCACCCCATGGGGATCCGAACTCACGACCTCTGCGACTTGCGGATTACGAGGATACCACTAGACCACCGGGGCGACCTGTGTAGGATAGCTGCATACTGAAACCTCACAGATGCATTGATTTTTGAGTTTGCCAGACACATAGACGCGTTGAGTGGGGATAGCTGCATACTGAAACCTCACAGATGGATTGGTTTTTGAGTTTGCCAGACACATAGACGCGCTGAGTGGGGATAGCTACATATTGAGACCTCACGAGTTGAGTGACGTTTGCGACTGCCGGACACATACTGAAACCTCACAGGTGATTTGCATTGGAGATTGCCCGACACATAGACGTGTTGAGTGAAGATAGCTGCATTCTGAAACCTCACAGATGGATTGGTTTTTGAGTTTGCCAGACACATAGACGCGCTGAGTGGGGATAGCTACATATTGAGACCTCACGAGTTGAGTGACGTTTGCGACTGCCGGACACATACTGAAACCTCACAGGTGATTTGCATTGGAGATTGCCCGACACATAGACGTGTTGAGTGAAGATAGCTGCATTCTGAAACCTCACAGATGGATTGGTTTTTGAGTTTGCCAGACACAATGGACGCGCTGCGTGGGGATAGCTACGTACTGAACCCTCACGAGTTGAGTGATGTTGGATAGGGCCAGCCACATAGACGCTTTGAGTGAGGAAAGACACATACTGAAACCTCACAGGTGATTTGTATTGATTGCCGGACACCTAGACGTGTTGAGTGAGGTAAGCTGCATAATGAAACCTCACAGATGGATTGGTTTTTGAGTTTGCCAGACACATAGACGCTTTGAGTGAGGAAAGACACATACTGAAACCTCACAGGTGATTTGTATTGATTGCCGGACACCTAGACGTGTTGAGTGAGGTAAGCTGCATAATGAAACCTCACAGATGGATTGGTTTTTGAGTTTGCCAGACACATAGACGCTTTAAGAGGAAAGACACATACTGCAACCTCACAGGTGATTAGCATTGGAGATTGCCGGACACATGGACGTGTTGAATGAAGATATCTACATGCTGAAACCTCACAGGTGGATTGGTTTTGAGTTTGCCAGACACATGGATGCTTTGAGTGGGGATAGCTACATACTGAAACCTCACGGGTTGAGTGATGTTGGATAGTGCCAGCCACAAAGCCGCTTTGAGTGAGGATAGCTGCATGTTGAGACCTCACGGGTTGAGTGATGTTTGCGTCTGCCGGACACATAGCCGCATTGAGTAAGGATAGCTGTATACTGAAAATCCACAGTGGCTATAGTGATGGGACAACTCGAGAATGCAGTACGCACATAGACCCGACCCCCAACCCGTACCCGACTCCCCCCTGAAAAATAGAGGCCCTGCGCCCCCCCCCTCTCTACCTCCCCCAGAGGATGAGGAGGGTACAGTCCACAGTAAGCACAAGCTTACCTAGGGTAATGCCTGTTTGTTGGTACGGCATTAAAAAAATACTGAAAACCCTCATCGGGGGGTGGAGGACTTAGAGCTAAGATACCCCAACACTCTCCGGCGTGAGTTCCAAATGGATCGGACGGTGGAGGGGGGGGGGTTGTTCGTTGCTTGAAGTGGATAAAAAAAACATAGAGCCATCAAGCAATGCTTACTACTCACGTCGAGCAAGCTGAACGACCAGACCAACCACGCCAAAAACTGCGGAGCTAGATGTGCGGCACGTGCAGTGCATTGTTTTCGATTGGAGAGAGGTGAGTATAAAGCAGTAAGGAATTGTTGGCCAAACTTTCGGCAGATAGGTCTACTCGGGAGCGTAAGTGGGGTAGCAACCCATGGTGGAGCGTACATGAGAAGCTGGACGTTGGTGTACGCCCCATCCCGGCGTGTGAGTAGGATCTTAGGCTATGCAAGTCGTCCCTGAACTTATTGTGGTGAAAATGACCTCCCAGGAGGAAAGTAGCCTGTACCGCGGGACTTCGGAGATGATAAATTGGGTGGTCGGGGGACGTCTGGGCGTTAACTAAGCAGAGCGCCCGGCACAAGACTGGGGTACTTGTGCCAGGAGGTGTGAACTTGGATCTAGNCGAGTTTTCCGTATACCTTACTGAAAAAACACCAAAAACAAGTGGCCACGGTCCAGTTGCCGCAGAGATCATGAGNAGAGCATGAACACTTCGGGGTGAAATTGACAGCCAAGAGTGCTTGGGGGTTAACATCGAGAAGCTGTCGAACTACGNGAACATGACGACGATAGAGTTCAAGAACTGTTGTGACAGGGAGGGACTGCTCTGCCTAGCA